TCCAATAACATGAATATTACTTAATTAAGGCTTGGAAACGTCTCAGTTCGGACTCGTTGATCTTCGCAACAGTCAAAGTCGCCATCTTTGTTTACATAAGACCCATATAACTCGCACATGCGCAGCGCGACGACTACCGCGCTTTAAGTGAGTGGCCACTTGTGCACAACGTAACATACTTACTTGTTATAGACAGTAAACACGCAGTGTTTTGCGCCAGGGTGATATGTGCAAGGACTGTTATAAAATTCCATGGTACAATCCGGATCTGGTTCAAATCTTCCAAAATCTGCAATAGCCATGGTTAAGTTGCAAGGGCAGTAGTATAAATCTTTTCTGAAGTTAACAGCGCCTTCTTGGGCAACATAGAACGTGTGGCACTCATCACCAGCCCACACATGAGTATCCAATTGGTATTCCTCTTCTAGTAAATAACCCAGCATGTGGACATCAGTCCATATTGCTCGTCTTGGGCTGCGAACGAACATGGCACAATATTAGTCATCTCAAAGTGAGGTGTCTGAGGACCAAAAGTAACATACATGCATTCCAGGTGTAATCTACCACTCAAACGTAACGTACACGAACATACATGTATACCAGGTGTAACACATCACTCAAAAGTAACTTACACGAACATACATGTATACCAGGTGTAACACATCACTCAAAAGTAACTTACACGAACATACATGTATACCAGGTGTAACACATCACTCAAACGTAACGTACACGAACATACATGTATACCAGGTGTAACACATAACTCAAAAGTAACTTACACGAACATACATGTATACCAGATGTAACCCATCACTCAAAAGTAACTTACACGAACATACATGTATTCCAGGTGTAACACATCATCAAAAGTAACTTACGCGAACATACATGTATACCAGGTGTAACCTACCACTCAAAAGTAATTTACATAAGTATACATGTGTACCAGGTGTAATCTATCCATCAAAAGTAACTTACACGAACATACATGTATTCCAGGTGTAACCTATCCATCAAAAGTAACTTACACGAACATACATGTATACCAGGTGTAACCTATCACTCAAAAGTAACTAACACGAACATACATGTATTCCAGGTGTAACCTATCCATCTAAAGTAACACGAACATACATGAATTCTAGGTGTAACACATCACTCAAAAGTAACTTACGCGAACATACATGTATACCAGGTGTAACCTACCACTCAAAAGTAATTTACATAAGTATA